CTGAAAACCTCTTTTTTAACTGACCTGCCCCTGGTCTTATGTAACTATGGTGATCTGAGCCATCTTCCCAGCCCCACAATATATTTTTAAAACTCAAAGTATTTACATGTTTCCTTAGAATTTATTATGATATTTCTCCTCTGTATGCCATCTGATTGCTAGTTATAGATATTTAAATGGACAATATCAATTAATACTAAGTAGAAGCACTAGGGTTCCCTAAATCAGTCCACCTTTTAACCTGAGGTTTTACTTAACTACCACAAATTTCAATCCATGTGTACTGTGTGTCTTCAGGATTTTTTTTTCTCTGTAGCCCCAGCTGGTCTGGAAGTTGTTATGTAGACCGGGATGATCATAATCTCACAGAGATCTGTCTGCCTCTGCCTACTGAGTGCTCGGACTAAAGGCATGCACTACCATGCCCGGCTGTCTTCAGTTCTAATTTGAGGAAGTGAGAACACTTGAGATCCCTAGACCTGTTGAAAGGTACTTCTGTTTTGAAGTTCTTACAGTGTTTTCATGACATAACCCCCATTCATTTTGCCACTGAATTTGCAACTAAAAAACAAAACAAAAATGCTATTCTTTCAGGTGATATGACTTAGTGATGGAGTGCTAGACTAGTATGTATGAGTTATTGGATTCAAATCCCAGCACCAAAAAGAGAAGGCCTAAATAAGTGTGTATTTATTTAAAAGTGCTGTTCTTTTCTGTGTGAGGTATTTGTGTAGTGGATTTTGAGCCTTAATAAAATAGTATCCAGTGAACAATTTCAATCTGATACTACATTGTAGGTGTGGAGACTAATGAAATCACAAACTTGCTGAACTTACTCTACTTATTAATTTACATATTTATTAAAAATTTATTTGTGTGTGTTTGTATATGTGAGTCTGTGTGAGTATAAGCCTGCGCCTGCACATGCACAGAGGCCCTTGGATCAGGAATTGCAAGTGTTTGTGGGATGCCTGGCTTGTTTTATGGGTTCTGGGATCTGAATTCCAGTTCTCATGGTTGTACAAGTGCTCTTCACTGCTGAGCTCTCTAGTTCTTATTCTTTTCCTTCCTTCCTTTCTTTCTTTCTTCCTTTCTTTCTTTCTTTCTTTCTTTCTTTCTTTCTTTCTTCCTTCCTTCCTTCCTTCCTTCCTTCCTTCCCTCCTGCCCCCTCCTCTTCAGGCTCCCACCCTCATGACGTTCTGCCTCACCACTGGCCTAGAATCCAGCTGGCCTGGAACTTACTATGTAGACCAGGCTGTCCTTGAACTCACAAGAGATCTTGCCTGCCTCTGCCTCCTGAGTGCTGGCATTAAAGGCGTGTGCCACCATGCCTGGCTGTTCTTATTCTTTCTTATTTTTAAAATATTGTATTTACTTTTATTTTATGTGGATGAGTGTTTTGCCTGCGTGCATGTAAGTGCATCATGTGTGTGCAGTGTCTATGGAGGCCAGAAGAGAAAGCTGAATCTCCTGGAACTGGAGTGGATGGGTGTTAGCTGCCACAGGGGTGCTGGGAACTGAATCCAGGTCTTCTGCAAGAGCAGCAAGTGCTCTTAACTGCTGAGCCATCTCTCTAGCCCCTCTAGTTTTTTTTTAAAAAATATAACATTTACTATGCTTTAGGCACTTATTCTTTTGCATTTATTTATTTATTATTTTTTTCTTTTTCTTTTTCTTTCTTTCTTTTTTTTTTTTTTTTGGTCTTTTTGAGACAGGGTCTCCTTGCAGCCCCAGCTTATTTGTTTCTTAAGACAAATAACCACCACGCCCAGCTTATTTGTTTCTTAAGACAGGAGCTTCTTGTAGACCAGGCTGGTCTTGAACTTTCAGTATTCCTCTTGTCTCTTCCTACCAGGTGCTGGGATTACAGGCATGTGCCATAATGCCTGGCCTTTAATGTCTCAATTTTATGCTTTTGGGATCAAGCCCAGAGTCTTGCACATGATGTCAAGTGCTTTACCACTGAGCTACACCTTAACTAGGCCTCTAAATTCTTTTCAAGCTTTGCCAGTGCTCATCGTAATGCTTTGGTACTGCTGCTCTTATTCGAGTTTATAGATGGGAAAACTTATTACTTGACCAAGGTTGTTCAGTGATGGAGTGGAGGGCATTTGAACCCCAGAGCTTGTGTGGTTCCACAGCTCTATGCTCATAACTATCTTTTCATATTAATTGGATTGATCATTCCTGAACCACCACTGGATCATCGAGAGACCACCACTTTGTTTTGATGGAAGTCAAGGAGAGTGCCTTTTGAGTATAATGCCAGGAAAGTAATGCTCCATCCTTTTGGTAATTTTAAAAAGAAATAGTTATTAAGCACTTGGTTGGTCAGAATCTGTGCCAAATGCTTCTTGAGTTTGGATGGGCTTAGAAAGTAAGGAGCAAGTTTATATCAGGTATATTTGGGCCAGGTTCCCATGTAAAGACTAGAAAAACTTAAAGGAATGTGAACACTTCATGTGCCTATAGAACTCATAGAGTTCATCATAGCTGGTTCTCACAGGCACTTTCTTTGGGAGGCAGGACAAGTGTTATTTGCATTTAGAGTGTTAGTTAGATGGTGAAACCGAGGCTCAGAAAGTTTTTCCAAAAATCTCAGATAGTGAGCAACTGGCTTAGTAACCTAATCCAATTCTCTTACCTTCACATCCAATGATCTTTCCTTTGTAGTTAACCCCATGCAGCCTGAACTTTGCTGTGGTGTAGAACACTGAGTACCTGGAAGCCAGTACACTGCCTTCTCTGTGAGTCACCAAGTTTAAATGAGGTAATACCAGTCCCTTGTGTCAAATTCCCTTTTTTGTGTACTTGATCTTAAGGTTGGTGCCTTGGTCGCTCAAAACTTAATTCTTTTTAAATTTTATTATTTTTATTTTATGTGTAGGTGTGTATTACTTGCATGTAGGTAAGTGCACCCGTGTTGTGCAATGCCCACGGAGGACAGAAGAGGCAGTCAGATCCCCTGGAACTGGATTTAGGACAGTTGTTAGCTGCCATGTGAGTGCTGGGATTCGAACCCAGGTCTTCTGCAAGAACAGTGTTCTTAACCGTTGAGCCATCTCTCTAGCCCCCCCCCCACCCAAGACTTAATTCTTGATGGGTTTATTGGCAGATAGATCAGGTGTGCCATCATTTCAGGTCCTGGTCCAGCCATTCTTAGTCCTGGGAAGGTGTGTGTAAAGCAAGAAGTCCGAGATACAGAGTGGCTAGCTGGAGGGAGGCCGTTTCTTACTCTGTCCTCACTCTCCACCTCTGTTGTTACCATCATCTGCCCCTCAGCTGCTGTTTGAGGGTGACTGTTGGGTACAGGTGAGGGTACTTTGCCTTTCTATTGGTTTCAAGCAGAAAACTTTATCAATGAAGGTTGTAATCTATGGTGAGGCCTACCCACTTTTTGTCCAGTAATGAAGGGACAGAAAAATTTTAGGAAAGCTCTAAAAACTAGGCCATTTGAGATTTTTGCCAGCAGGTGGCACTTCTCCCCATTCTTACCAAATAAAGTCTAAGAGAAGAATTTATTTATTTATTTATTTATTCATTTATTTATTTATTTATTGTAGTTTAGCTAAGCCCAAGCACTTCTCTTTTCCTATTGTAGTGGGCTAGTCTACATTATCTGGTAATTTGTTTTGTTTGTTTGTTTGAGACAGAGTCTCAATACATAGCACTGGCTGACCTAGAACTTGCTATATAGACCAGGTTTGTCTGGAACTCACAGAGATCTGCCTGCCTCTGCCTCCCAAGTATTGGGATTAAAGGTGTTTGCCAACCCAGTTGCAATATTCTATTTATACATAGCAATACAGTTATACTCTTTTCCCACAAAGGATTTGAATTTGTTTATGTAACAGAAGATTTTCTTTTTTCTTTTCTTTTCTTTTCTTTTCTTTTCTTTTCTTCTCTCCCCCTCCCCCTCTTCTCTTCTCCTCCTCTCTCTCTCTCTCTCTCTCTCGCTCGCTCTCTCTCACTCTCTGTCTCTGTCTCTCTCTCTCTCTCTCTTTGTCTCTCCCCCTTCTTTCCCCCCTTGCTGTTCAGAAGGAATTCACTAGGTTGACCAGGCTGTGGCAACCTTCAGATCTCAGTCTCAATAAAGCTCGATTACAAGTGTAGGCCACCACACCTGCCTTCGTTATCAGGCCTTTAGGTTAATGGGAAGACGGTAGAAGATGACTTTTCTAGGATTTGAAATAAAAATTGAAGTGCTCACTTAGGCAGGCGTCTGTGTGCTCCTCTCACCGGACTGACCTCCTTTAAGGCGTTGCTTCTGACCTGCGAACATTAAGCACAGGTACTCTGCATCTTCAGGGTTCTGTGATCAGAGTTCTTCAAATTGTCAGCTTCGACTTTTCAAGGCTCCAGCTTCAACCATGCGTTCGATTTTACACATTGTCCTAGGCATCGAGGATTACAAACGAGTTACCAAAACGGTCCCCCCTGAAAAAGAAAAAGAAGCCTGGCGTGGTGGCGCACACCTGTAGTCCCAGCACTCAGGAGGCAGAGGCAGACGGATCTCTGTGAGTTCAAGGCCAGCCTGGTCTACATAGTGAGTTCCAGGACAGCTGGGGCTACAGGGAGACCCTGCTTCAAAAAGACCAAAAAAAAAAAAAAAAAAAAAAAAAAAAAAAAAAAAAGATTCCCTTCTTTTGGAGACGGAGACAGTCCTGTTTTGAGACAAAACTAGAAAGCCATACCAGGCAATGTTAGGATCAAAGGTGAAACCTGTGTCTTTATAGGGTTCTGAAAATAAATCTGTTCCATCTATTCCAAGTTTCCAGATTAAAACTGGCTTCTAGTACCAGTGAAGTTCGCGTGGATCGTGTTGTCCATAGTAGCTTGAATAGGCGAGTGCAGGCTCCCTAATATCCCTAAATATCCTTCCCAGACCCTAGGGTGCTTCATGGAGATTAACTCAAGGTGTCAATCATCCTCTGGGCTAGAAGGACCAGCGCCTAGCCCCGCCCATCGCTGTGAGGTTAGGACAAAGATTAGAGGCGGAACCGGGCGGGGCTGGGGGCTCCGGGAAGCCGAAGCTTGCAGCCAGTCCCCGCAGCTGGGGGCTGGCTCCCAGAGGCCTGCTGCAGCAGCGGGGGCGGCTGGCGGGAAGCTTTGTGGCGCGGGCAGGTTCCACGGGGTGTCGCAGAGGCGCCTGCCGCCCAGGGCACTCAGCCTGGCCGCGGGCACCGACCGCATGGGCAGCCCCGCGCAGTGGGGCTTCCCAGCGCGCACGAACAGCCGCTTGGATGCGTTCCTGCGGCGGCACATGCGGCCCGAGGTCTACGACGGGGTCCGCGCCTACGAGCCGTGCATCGTGGTGTCCCACGAGGAGAAGCACACCTTCAAGTACGTGGTGCTCAGCGATCGGCTCATCTACCTGACCGAGAACCCGCCCAAGTCCATCCAGACGGTAGTGGCTCTGCGGGACATCGTGGCCATTGACCTGGTGAGGAGCGCGGGTGGGCCAGTCTCCTTTCCTAGGCTTCCCCAACTTCTCCCGCTGGAAATGGGGAAAACCTTCCCCATCCTGCCCTGGAGCTTGCTATCCCCCAGCGAAAAGCAGCAGGCGCAAGCCGGGGATTGCTGTGGGATTCCAAATAAAGATGCCTTGCCTCCTTACTGTGTCTACCCTTGGATTCCCACATAGGCTTTGAAACCGATAGAAATTCGCTCTAAGGCAATTCTCTTGTTCATTAAGCACCTAGTCTACGCAGGTACTGTGCTAGACCCGGAGGACGCAAAAACTAAATTGAACCTTTTTTGCAGCAGCTGTGGGAGGGATGAGACCACACTGGTGCAAACAAACGCCACGTGTTAAGTGCCTCGTGCCTTATTCACTTTTTTGCCCCTCACGCTTGGATAGCATGTTACATAGTCCAGAGTGAGTGAGTGAATGAATCCGTGAGATGTGCATAGGCTGCTCACTTGATCCAAACTGGGAAACTTCCTGGAAGGTGGCTCAGAACTGAGCTTCCAGGGAGTTAGAACCTGGTTTAGCCCAGCCTTGCCCTAGTTTCTAGTGTTGCTACTATATCCCTCCCCTCTGGATAGACTGACTATAGTATGAACCAGCTGCAGATTGGAAGCGCAGCCACTCTCCTAACTCCTCTCCACCAGCTTGGTCCCTTTGTCTGAGCTACTCTCCAAGTGTGCCTTTCCTTTTTCCTTTGGGACCAATGTCTGGCCTCCTTCTCTGCCTTGCCTAAGCCTGTGTCCCCCAGGGAGAAAGTGGTGAGCTTCTTGATTGGAGCTGTTTTGCTTAGAGAATCATAGCTTAGTTTCAACACATCTGTTAAGGAAAAAATGAAAAGAATCTAACATTTTTCTAGTCCAACTTCCCTTGTCAGCTATTTTTACATTTGCTTCTTTTAAAAACATTATCACATATTTGTTTGTTTACTGTGTGTGCATGTATGTGTGTGTGTGTGCATATATGTGTATGTATGTCATGACCTGCATGTGGAAGTCAGATGATAACTTGTGGGAGTCAAGCTCTTTCCTTCCATCGTGAGTTGGAACTCAGGTTGTCAGGCTTGGGGTCCAGCATCCTTACAGTAGCTGTCATCTCACCAGTCTTATTTGCTTCTTTTTTGAGTGAATAAAGTAAAAATTTGCCCTTATTTCCATTCTCTTGAGCTAACACTCTCTCTCTCTCTCTCTCTCTCTCTCTCTCTGAGAGAGAGAGAGAGAGAGAGAGAGAGAGAGAACTATGTAGCTCTGGCTGGTTTAGAATTCACTATGTAAACCAGACTGGCCTAGAACTCAAGAGATCCACCTGCCTCTGCCTTCCCAGTGCTGGGATTAAAGCTGTGTGCCCTCATACCCAGCCTTAAGCTAATAAAAAACAAAACAAAAAACAAAAAAACCCTGAAGTGCCTTTACAATTTTTTTTTTCTTGTTAGGAACTGGGAATTGAACCCAAGGTCTTGTGCTAGGCAAGTGCTGTAGCCCTGTTACATCCTGTTCTAGTTACTTTCTATTGCTGTGATAAAACACTGACTAAAACCAACTTGGGAAGGAAAGAGTTTATTTGACTTACAGCACTGATCATCATAAAGGGAAGCCAAGGCAGGAACTCAGGGCAGGAACCTGGAGTACAGACCTGGAAGAACACTACTTACTGGCTTGCTCCCCTGGCTGGTGCACAGCCTGCTTATATAATACAGGCCCACCTGCCCAGGGGTGGCACCGCCCACAGTGGGCTGGGCCCTCCCACATCATTCAACAATCAAGAAAATGCCCCACAGACAAAACATGACCATAGGCCAAACCAACGGAGACAATTCTTCAAATGAGATTCCCTCTACTCAGGTCTGTCAAGTTGACAACTAAAGCTCTCCAGCACACATCCCCAGTTCTCCAAAATGTTTTAAAAAGCTTTGAGTGCTCAGCTTTTTCAAGTGTCTCCAGGGCAAATATTTATTGTTTTAGCAAAAATGTAATGATTTTTAAGGTATTGCTATTCTCCCCCAAGAGAAACAATACATTTTAGCAGTTGTTATATATCCTACCTTAAGATGTCAGAAATGGAATAACAGTAAAACTCCTTAGAGTTTATGAACCAAGAATCCTGTGGAAGGCCATTCCTTTTTTGGTTATGTTTTATGTACAAGATTTACCTTTCAGGCATGCAGAAGAATATGTAATGCATGATCCAAGTTAATCTCTAGCACTTCCCAAAACGAAGACCAAAATCCCTCAGAAGAATATGTAATATCTATGTCTAGGCTGCACAGATCTGAGATTTCAGAGTTAAGAGTGCAGATTTCACCGTCCATCTTGCACAATATAATTAGCTTTGGAAGTTGTGATAGGCATAAAATTTTCTCTCTATTTATTTTACTAGAACATTCCTCAAAAGAGGAATTTTGAGAGATAACCACATCCTAAATTCCTAGAACTTGTGACTATGTTATGTTATATCATATGACAAAGAGTAAGTATGCTAGTCACTTGATTTTCGAATAGGAGATTGAGGAACTGGAGGGATGGCTCAGTGGTTAAGAGTATTTATTTCCTGCTCTTTAGAGGATCCTGAGTTCAGATCTCAGTACCTTCATTGGGCAAATCACAACTGCCTGTAACTACAGTTTCAGGAGATCTGACACCCTCTTCTGGCCTCTTCAGGTACCTGCACATACATGGCATACATTCACAAAGACACACACACACACATACACATGAATAAAATAAATCTTTTTTTTTAAAAAAAGGAGATTGACTGGGTGTGGTGGCACACGCCTTTAATCCCAGCACTCGGGAGGCAGAGGCAGGAGGATCTCTGTGAGTTCGAGGCCAGCCTGGTCTACAGAGTGAGTTCCAGGCAGCTGGAGCTACAGGGAGACCCTGTCTCAAAAAAAAAAGGAGATTGAGGTCAGGTATGGTGGTATACTTGGGAGGCAGACAGAGGCAGTGGATCTCTAAGATGGAAGCCAGTCTGGTCAAAATAGCGAGTTCCAGGCTAGATGGGGCTATAGGGAGACCCTATCTCAAAAAGACCAAAAAAAAAAAAAAAAAAAGATTGAGGCAGGTCTGGAAATCCCAGGACTAAGACTCCAGAGGCAGAGCCAGATCATGAGTTGGAGGACAGGCCTGGGCTACATAGCAGGACTCTGTCTTAAAAATAAATAAAAAGATTAATTTGCATTATTCAGGTAGGTCTGATGTAAGCACATCATTGTAAGTGGAAGAGGCTGGCAAGTTCATGAAGACCCAAGCAACCATTATTAGTTTCAAGTGAAGAAGCTGGGAGCAGTGGAAGGAGGCAGCCTCCAGAGCTTGAAGATAGCAAAGAAACAGACTTTCCCAGGAGCCTGAGGAAGGTATACAGTCCTGCCAATATCTTTATTTTAAGCTCAGTGAAATCCATTTTTGTGTCTGTTTTTGTTTTTCTTTGCTGGAGAGTAAACCCAGACTTCATGATTCTAGGCAAGTGCGCTGCCACTGAGCTGTCCCCCTCAAAGGTTGGGCCCATTATTTGACTTATGACCTTCAGAACTATAAGAAAATAAATTTGTGTTGTTAAATGCCACCAGAGTTGTGGTACTGTGTTACAATAGCCATAGAAAAATAATGTGTCTCCCCTTTTAAGATTGTTCTTAGTGAGAAATGAATATAATAAATGCCAAGCACAAATGCCTTAATTTCTTTTCCAGAGAGTTTATAAAATACTTTTAGGGTTGTTATAGTCAAGTGATTTGTATTAAACTCCATAGGTTTTCTTGTTTCCGAAGATTTATTTTATTTTTAATTATGTATGTGTGTGGGCATGGGAGTGCAAGTACCTATGGGAGCCAGAGGCATCGGCTTCTCCTTGAGTTGGAGGTACAGAAGGTTGTGAACTGCCCAGTGTGGGTGCTGTGAACCAAATTCAGGTCCTCTGCAAGAGTAGTATGTGTTTTTAGCCACGAAGCCCTCTTACCAGTTCCCTAATCTCCAGATTGTGTGAACACTGGATGTCACAGAATTGTGTTCCCTTGTACCAATTAGTAAATACACATGTGATTGACTATTCTGTTATAAATATTCATTATCATCATGTGTAAGATTTTCCCAATTTCTTTATTTTTTGATACTTATTTATTTAAAGATATTTTATTTATTGTTTTTATTTTATGTGTATGAATGTATTGCCTGCATTTTTGTAAGTGTACCCATGTCCTGCTATGCCCAAGGAAGTCAGAAGAGGGTGTCGGATCACTGGAACTGGAGTTAAGGATGTTGTTAGCCACCATGTGGGTCCTGGGAATTGAACCTAGGTCTTCAGCAAGAGCTGCCAGTACTCTTAACGGCTGAGCCATCTCTCCGGCCCCTTTATTTTTTTTTAGCTCTGGCTGACCTGGAACTCATTGAACAGGCTAGCTCAAACAGAGATTACCCTGCCTTTGCCTCCTGCGGGCTGGTATTTGTCACTGTACCCAGCTGAATTTCCCTGTTTTTTTTTTTTTTTTTTAAATAAAATTTATATTCTTTGTGAATTTCATATTTTCTGATTTCTTGTATCACATATAGTCATCTGTCCTTGCTAAGTCAATCACTTGAGTCCCATTACGTCACTGTCAGGCAGCTTTGTTTTTGAGAACCAGCTCCTCCTTCCTTGAAAGATAAACTAATGTCCTTTATTACTAGGGTACTGTCCTCTTTCTGAGGCCAGTTCTTTGACATCCTTTTCCACTGTCCTCAAACTTCTCATCTTACTCTACAAGACTATCTTCTTGTTATTTAACTTTCAGTTGTCTCAGGTTCCCATCCTGTTTGTTTTGCTGTCATGTGGTCAACTGGACTTAAGTAAAACTTTAGAGCAAACCAGCCTTTATGTTTCTGGGCTCCAACCCTCCTTGTTTCTGTTATACTAAGGCATGGCTACACTTTAGGAAAAAACCCTGCAACCATATAGATGAAATTCCACTTTTTCCTCCAAGGAAAGAAAGAATGGAAGCGATAGCT